TAGGTTCATATGCTTAATATAGTCATTCTGAACCATTGAAGCAGTATCAGTCTTGCAACTCAGTGAAGAAGCGTCAAGACGACGCCTGAGATTACCCGAGTCATCCCATTTGGTATGAGTTTCATAAAGGACGCATCGCGTTGTCTGCTTCTAAAGGCTGTAGTTGCTTGTAAAAATGCGAAACTGTCAAAAATGCTTTGGCGCTTTGTAGCCCATGCTGCAGAGTAACTCACATCTGACCACTTTGCAATAGTAAAACTATAACTAATATATTGTGATTTAATCAGATTTCTCTGTAGCTTCCTGTGCAATAGAATTCATTTTTTTTACTTTGCTACAAAAATATGAACATTTTATAGGTTGGCAGAAATCGTAATGCTGACCCCTGTCTGTCGACCCCTCAACGGGGTCAGAAGCATTATATATTTGTTCCACCTTCGGTGTTTCGATTATCCAAAGCAAGACTGACCCTTAAATGTTTGTCATTGCCTAAAGCTGAGCCTAAATTTATTTTTTTTGTAAGGTACAAAATTTTATCAAAAAATATTTTTATTTTTTTTTTTTTTTTGTAATTTCGTAGAAAAGCAAATTCCTTTCAAAATACCTTTGAAGTCAAGAGATAATGAAAAACGTTTTTGAACTCATTATGTTTAACATAAATTTTCATTTTTAACACGTCTCAGCATAAATTATACACATATTAAGAATTTTAAATAAATTGTATGAAATTATTGAACTGTGAAACAATGTTAAGTATCAACAATTCAACGGCCGATAGCTTACACACACAACAAAACAACAGGTGATCGATATTTATGAAATAATTTTTGACTTTCGCTCTAAATCTGCATCCAGGTGCGTTGATTATTGTTTAAATATTTCTTCGAGTCTTGCCAAATATTCAATTCCTTAAGGTAAGTAAAACATTATATGTTCCGTTGGCCCCTTTATTATCAATGAATAAATCTTTTATCGCAATAAATCAATTCATTTACAAGTCTTTTTGTTTATCTAAAGCATCTATAACGATGAAGGTAAGCTGAGTTCATTAATGCATTGAAAACAGAAGTAACTATAACAACCACAACTAATGCTAAGAAACTCAGAGCAGTGGCCAGAGCAGAATAAAAATAAAAAATTTTAATTCCAGCCTTATCCACTATCGTTATCGAAGCGAGCGTTCCTTAAGCTTAAAATAAATTCAAAGAAGACTAATTTTTACGAGAAAAAAATGTAGAAAAAAAAAATCGTTCGAAACTGAAAAGACGAATGCCAACCTTTCGTTTAGTTTAGGTCGCTTCCAAGCTCGTTTGCTAATGCGTAGACGATATCTTCATTTTCGCTAACTACACAGTTGTGCAGACGACAAACGGACCTGTTTACGTGCATGCCAACTTTGACACTGGCCAAGAATTTACCAACTTTATGAAGTTGTATGTATGCCTGTTTGTGCGCCATATGGAGTTAAACTATGATAAACTATAATACTAATTAGGCGTGGTCAATTTTGTACAAGTACTACAGCATCGCCTATAGGATATGCGTTCAAATGTTTGTACATTTATATGCGCTGCAGACCAAAACCGAGATGTTCTCAGTTTTGGTCCATTTTCAAGACAAACCTGCGTGCAAGAATTTTCAATGTCTCTGCTAAATTTGAAACCGATAGCCGCATTTTTGCGGACAAAAGAGAACGTTTACAACACACATTGCATCGACGTGCAAACATACCTCGATAGCGACAATGTACTAAATTTCATCAAAAATATCTCAAAAATTGCGCCACAAATTTACATGGACAGACATCAAGCTGATAGACGGGCAGACATCGGTTTAGATTATAACAAAATGTAAATCTATCTTAAGCCCTTCTGCATAAACTTAATGCACCCTGTACCACAAGTCTTGTAGGGTAAAAAAAAAAAACCCATCCTTTTTTTCTAGGCTGAAAATATATAAAAAGTAATAATAAAAAACAATTTCTTCTTCAGCTCAATGAGGAACAATTGTTGCTCAACTTAAGGCCCAAAAATAAATTCCTAGTGAGAGTGAAAAGAAACTAATTTTTCCTAAGCTTTGAAATCACAAAAAAAAAAAAAATAGTTCTTCTCAACCGTGGCAATGGTTAAAAGCAAAAAAAAAAAAAAAAAAAAATTCGAACTTTAAAAATTAAAAAACACAAAACCTACTCCTTCTTCCTTAGCTTTAATGAGGAACAAAAAAAAAAATAAATAAATAAAGTTTTGCAGGAAAAAACACAAAAAATGAAAACTAATTTTTCATAAGGTGAGAGAGAAATGAAAAATAAAAAATTAATAATGAAAATATTTAACTTGCGCAGGCAATGTGTGTGAATAGACTGAACGCAAAACAAAGAATGTTTTTTTTATCTTATCGAAAGGTCAAAAAACTGACGATTCAATCAACGTAGAGTGTTACTAATTTACTGCGCCTGGGGCCTACAATTGCTGTATACGTTGTTAATACAATTTCGTTTGTCCTACGGTTCACAGTTATGTCGTTACAGCCGCTACGTATTTTAATAGCATATCTTTGCTCACCCTTTCACTCATAGCGTATTGCTAGCTAGACTTTCTTGAGGTCCAAAAATTGAGTCAATTCAGCTCTCGAAAGTTTGCGGACGTTTCACAAAAATCTCTTCGGAATTAGATGCATTGAGATTTCCGAGTTTTAAAGGGTATGCACTGGATATTAAGTCCGTTGTTCCGCCGTTGAAAACCGCTGTAGTTAGTAATAATCAACTTCAAAGTACTCGAGGCTCCCTTCCCATGGGTATGAAAGTTTTCCATTTGTTTTATGCTCTGATTTTTGTTTTTTTTTTTTTTTCGCTTTTTTCTTTATAGGAAAACATGCTGCCATGAAACTGGAAAATATGTTTAATGTTTTTTATCTCGTTACTGGTGATAAAAAATTTATGCAAACAAGTCCGTACATAAATTTAAACATGAACGGCTAGCTCATGCATTAATTGTTTACTTAATAAACGTGTGAAACGCTAAACAGTATTGTTAACAATCACTGCTTGTATGTGTACATAAATGTGTACACAAACATCTGGACATAGTATGCTTCTTATATTCATATGTATGTAGAGACCATTAGGAGCACGTTACATGTTCCATTAAGAAATTGTTTTTTTTTTTGCTTTATTTATTTATCTACTTAAGCAGTGTGATAAAAATCTATATATTTATGTGTACATGCTACAGCTATTTTAATTGTTTATTTAAATCCATAAAATTCTAACTAAACAAAAAAAATAAATAAATAAATAAAATCAAATGAAATGAAACAAGAAAACTGAAATCATTTACTCATCAGCCGCGAATACATGTCTTGGCGTGTGGCGCTCTTAACTTTTCCAAGTTTTAGAAGTTTAAGATGTCCCCCGGGTGCAAGCCAGCCATCACTTTGGAACCTTTATTCGGTCTAAGTTAACGATTATCTACGCTTTCGAAATTTTCGAGGCCAAATGCGATTTTGAAATCAAATCTCAAATCTTAGGCAAAATCTATTCGCCCAATTCTGGAGAAGTTGGGGAATTACTCTAAACTATTTGATAATTTTATCATGTTCAGCTCTTTGTTTATCTCTAGCGGCTGGATATTCAATAGGTGCAGAGGTGCACAGCAACGCAAGGTTGACAAATTATTTCATTATAAACCCCTGTAAAAATTGTACCATGTTCTCTATAAGAATATAAATATAAGACAAAAAGATTCCGGATCAGTAAATAATTCGATTAGTCAAAAAAAAGTTTCTCCTAATTAATCTAAAAAGCAAAGAGTTAGTAGAACATAATACAACTCATCATAAATGAAGTTATAAAAATTAATTCCAATCTATGAATAAATTAAACCCGTCTTAAGAGTTATTAATCCCCGATAGAGCAATTCCCATATGAACTACTCCTCCTGCTAAACATATTTCAATTCACAAAAAATTATAACTTAACCTCAATATTTGACTAAAAGGTACAACTGATGAAAATAGATGGCAACTCCTTTAGCGCCATGAATACTATTAATTCTTGTCTTGTTTCCTTGCTTTTCTTTCTCTCTTTCAAACCTTGAGCTATCAATTGATTCTTTTCTTTGCTCTAACAAACGTTTCCTTTTCCAATGGGAACCGAAACTAAAGTTTTAAAGACAAGGCTCCTATGAATGAACCGCTGTGTGCGATGGTTTTAGTGGGATTTAATTGCTTTCTCAGCTGATTTAAACATGTCTGTCCGTCTATTTGTCTGCAATCTATTCATGATATTTGGTATTTAACCTACAAATCCAAATATTGGAGACATTTTGACAAAAATTGGCTCATCTTTTACTCCTTTTGAAAAACAGAGATCTCCTCAGATTAACAGTGAAAGGAGAGATCTCCTTCGACTGATTTGGCCCATTTTTCATATGAACCAACGTTGCTACCCGATTTTAAGGACGACTGCTTCATTTTTGCCATCAGGAGAACGCCTAAAACCGACGTTACACTGATGGATCGACGAACAGAGAAGCCAAAATCGATTCGGGAATTCGATGCTTATCCCAAAATGCCCTGATGACCTGAAGCTTTCTTCTGTGTGCTGCGAATGTTATCATCAAATCTTTCGTTTGATTGATATAAAAGCAAAGTCGAAAAATTTTTAAAAAAAAAAATTAATTCAAGTGAACTGATCATCATTCGAGTCCACCCACACAATGTTTCAAAAAACGAGTCATAAGATTATCTCTCACAGATATGTTTGAATATTCTGAGCAAGATATTCTTCTCGTTCGGCTAGCTTTGTCTCGAAAATTAATTTAAAATTTAATGTTAATTAAATATGCAATTAATGTAAAGCAGAAATTTCTATATATTTACCGTATTTACCGTCCCTCTCTCCCTCGATTCAATCTTTTTAAATATGTTTTCAATTTAATTGATTTAATTTAATTATTTTTCTGCTTTTTTTTTTTTTCTTTTTACTTTTAACTTTTTGGCAGCTTGTTCTTAAGAAAACTTGCGAATGGTGGTTTTATAAAACTAAATGCAACAGCATGTCGACGCATTGGAAGCAGAATGCATTTCTAATACTCACCACCTGCATACTCATTCTATTAGGTCTGATAATATTTCTATGTTTGCCCGTCAACGAGAATACGGAAATGCAACAACCTGCCCTAACAAAACAAACCACACATCTGTTAACTACAACAGCAACAACAACAACAACAGATCAAATAAATTATAATAATAATAATAATAATAAAAGCGATAACGATGGCAGCTATAAAAGTCAGACAACAATGTCAGCAACGACATCTGGATTTTATGATTTAAATGATTTGCAAACATCAGATATAAATCAGACAATCGAGATGGGCGATGAAGATTGGAGTACGGAAGAAGGTAAATATGATGGCAATAAAATAAATAAAAATGAAATGCGAGCTGATTTTATTCTTCACCTTCACTGGTGATTTTTCTTTTATTCGTAATAATCGAACAGACGATATGGAAAACGATATTGAACATATCAATAACAGTATACCGGAAGAATTGGCCAGTGATTACGTTACACCGATAAAAGTCGACAATTTTAGTTTGAATGCTGATGACTTACTATATGAATCGAAACGTAATTTAAACAATAACAACAACAAAGGTAAATCGAAAAAGTTCTACACTTTTACTTTATATGTTTATTTGTTTTACGGCCGAGGGGCTGAGCGGCCGAGCAAGCAAAGAATCTCGACTAACAATTCGATGGCCCCCGAGTAGAGTTTTATTGAAAAGACGTTAGCCTTAGATGCCAGCCAGACCTTGTTATCTATTTCTTCTTGAATAAATTATTGTTGCATGTGTGTGTGTGAAGAAGAAGACGTAGAAGACTAACGCTGTAGAGTTCTAAATAAAATCATCATCATTTTTCCAACATGAAAGTAATACCTTTACAGTTAGGTATAAGTTTAGGGAATGCGCGCAACACAATTTTGTTGCAATTTTGAGCCCTTTACAAGCGGAATGACTTGTCATATATAAGCCGGGAAAAAGTACTGCTGCACCGTCACCGAATAAGGAACAATGGATGCGTGACGTTATGCAAAGCGATGAAAAATCACATGAACAATAGGCGAACCATTAAATTTGACAATAAAATCTATTAAGAAAATCGTCAGAGAGAGACATCGGCCTTGTAGTACTAGGGATGTATACAATAACCAGAAGGAAGGACTTGAGATAGAACTGCCTGTTCGTCTGTCCACATCACAATTTAAAAAAAATTTCGTATACCGAAGGGTTTTTGTACAAGAACGAAGGCCGTTGAAAGGACTTGGACTACCTTATCGGCCATCTTCCATATAAGGCTTTATTTTGAAAAGTCATTCTATAAGTATCTGCATTAAGCCAAACGGTGCAGGGTGCAGGCCATTTAACGGTGGGCTGTGGGCAGTGTAAAATTCACTTATATATATGTATATATTTATAAATAAGTTTACAAAACATGGTTTAAAAGGCGCCAGACAATTAGAGTATATGCGCCTGCAGGTGGTATGCAGTTGAAAAGGTAAACAAACAATTACAGGAATGTAGACGAAGCTAATGTAACTCGAGGGATTGAGATAATGAATTAAATATAATCCGGGTATGAAGAGCTTTGTGTTTTCGGAGAGAAAGACGAGTCTTGAGTCCTTTTTGGCCGACACTAAGCGAGGCATTACAAGAAACACATTTGGAAGGTTCAGTTTGTTCATAACAATTTTTGGTATCGACTAAGACCTTCCTTCACCCTATTTACCCTAAGGGGAGCTAGGAGAATGCGTACGGCTCGTTAAAGGGATTATGGTAGTCTGGCCCGCTAATAGAAGGACCGATTGACATTTCCCTTCACATTTTATTCATTTCTTCTTTTCTTTTTTTTTTTTTTTGCATTTCAATATGTTCACTTTAACTGACGGTTTACTACAACAACTTAACAATCTGATTCTCTTGGCTCTTAACTGTTAACGAGACGTTGGATCATTTACTTCACACAGATATATATATTTACATATATAATATACTTTCAGTTGCTATTTAAATTATAAGTTGTGGACCGCACTGCCACAATTCCCCTAATTTCACGTTTTTTAACCCATTCACTAGCTTTTAACAGCCATTTTGTTTTATTCCTACTATTAGTCACTAAATAACGAAAAGAAGCCTTACCGCCGTCAAATCAAAGTACCAATCAGAGTATAATCCGAGGTCGTGAATGGTAAAAGTGAGAGATTTGCTGTTGGGGATTTGGGAAAGTTATAAATTGATGATGACCTTAAGAGCACACATGTTCACATCTACAACTAACAAAATAGGCACAATCTACTAATAAAGCTTACAACCGAAAAGTATTATAACATTTTTGTCAGTAAAGCAGTGACCGCAGAGGAGAAGACGGTGTGATTAAATCGCTTAGTAATGTCCAACTGGCTGCAAGTATTTTTGATCAGTCCGCGCTGCAGTGCAAGAAACCTCCACTCGAGTTGGGATGGAATTTAGATACGCGTCACCTCAAGCAATGTCTTGACGAGTTTGTGGCAATTTATCTCTAAACCATCTTAGGAATGTTGTTCCTCTCTAAACCATCTTAGTAGGTTGTTCACAAATGTAAGTCAATTCTAGTTCATATATTTTCTTGTACCAGTGTGGATATGTCACATCCATTCTTAACTGTGTTAGTTGGAAGAGAAGCTCGAACTTTCTATACTGGTTTTTGCAATGTTCGTGTCAAAGTTCTATGGAATAATGGGCAGAACAATAGCTTAGCTTGCATTATTTCTTTATAGAATTTCTTTCACTTTTTTTATAACAAAAGATTGAAAATGTGATGCATTAACTTAATCTGGCTTTATCTGATTTTTTTTATTTCTCTTCTCTTCAGATTATTTTTCTGCATTTAGTGCAACGGGTACATTTCGTAGTAAATCTAGTCAAATATGGGATCCACATCCAGAATATATATTAAATACATTCGGGCATCGTTTACATTTGATATTACATCAAGATACATCATTTATACCACCAAAAACATTTAGGGTAAGCTCTATAAAATGCTTTCATAGCAGCCCTCGTATTTCATTAAGTAGATTAACTTCCATAGTTTTTTGCTTTGTTTTCCAACTTTTCCTTCTCTTTGTACTGAAGGTCATTAATATTTTAAATAATCGTACCGAGGAGGAGGAACAAGAAGAAGGTCATTACTTGGGTTGCTATTATAAAGGACACGTCGAAGGCGATGAACAGTCAGCAGTGGCTGTGTCACTATGCCACGGTATGGTAAGTATTATTACATACGCCTCTCATCTTTCTGTTGCAAAAAATACATGATGATGATGATGATGATGATGATGATGATAAGATCTCAAGCAATTTAAATTACAAATAAAAGCTTTAAACATTTTCTTTATCTTTTTTATTAAACTTTTGAAAGAACGAAAAAAAACAAACATTAAAAACAAAAAAAATAAAAGCAAAAAAAAAAAAAAATGCATTTCATTGTTTTTATTATAAATGTTTCTTTAATAAAAAGTTATTTATGCTTATATGAATATGTGTGCGTATCTGTTTAATAATTTACGATTTTTATTTATTTTTGTTTATTTTCACACACACACACACACACACACACACAGACCGGTTATATAAAAACAAGTTTCGGTTCATTGCTAATACAACCACTCAATCAAACGTATGATTCCTCTTCGCTAAATATTTCTGCCGCTGCCGCTGCCACTGCCGCTGCCGTTAACGGCGGCTCTTCAACCACCTCAACGTCATCCGAGATTGTACACAAAGTGTGGCGACATTCGCGACGCAATGCCAGACACGCTGTCTCCATGCTTGATAATAATGATTTCGATTTCGATTTCAATCAACTCGAGCAAAATTTCTTGCCGAAATTGAAGCGTAGGAAACGTGACTATGAGGATCGTCACTTATTCACCATTGAGTTACTTGTGGCTGTCGATCGTACAATGATCGAATTTCATAAACACGACTTGAATTCGTATATATTAACCTTAATATCGATCGTATCGAATATATTTGCCGATGCCAGCATCGGTAATTCGATATATATATCGGTGGCTAATATATTGGTTTTGCATGATTACAAGAGGGCACGAAGGCGCGGTCCTGCTACAACGGCCTCACAATCGTTAAAAGATTTCTGCTCGCATGTAACCACCCGCGGTTATCACTACGATACCGCTATGCTTATAACAAGGTAAAGTAAACAAATTAAAACAAAAAGAAGGAAAAGGTTTAGATTTACAAAATAGAAACGTCCTATAGGGTCGTTCTATTTTTTCCCCATGTTACACGTTTAATGTTTACACGATTTCGTACTCGACTCCTTATGCGCTTCAATGCTAATCAAAATGTTGAATAATGCGATCAAACTTGACTTATAATCGAGAACAGAGGGATTGGGGTATCGGTATGACAATGAGAGTAATGTGAGTGAGTGTGCTTATGATCGCCACCGTAACATATATTTTCTATATTTGTGAAAAGATTCTCCTGACGAATGCTTCTCTCTTTTTAGTAAGCGAAAGATAGAAAAAGTCGTAATGGAGCAAAGAATTTGCATTGGGGAAATATAGGCAAAGGGAGATATTCCATGCCAAGCATGGAAAAAAAAGCATGGAATATCCTGAAGTGCACGGATTGGTTTTTTCAGCTCAAAATCCACCAACGACGACATTCCTATATGGTTAGGCATGTAAATTATGGGGCAAAAGTCGGCAACTCGGACTCACTACTTCTTTGAATACTTTATTGAAGTCTCGTAAATTATATAAAATTTAGTCCCCCATTTCAGCTCACAGTATAATTTGCATCGTAGACGCGATCACTTCGTTCACCCAGTTCACCCAGCTACGATATTCATTTTTTTGGGCCACTTTGCCACTTTGGATTGTTTTCCCATAATCGCCCTGCAATCGCTTATGCTTATGCTAGGCTTTCTTTCCATAGAAATCAAACTGTGTTTATGTGACGAGGCACCTCAGTTTGATAATCCCCTTGACAGTATTTAATATATTTTATATATAATATTTATATATATGTGTGTATTACATATATCGCGATATGAAGCAAACTTTTTTATTTGTCATTTACTTAGAGATCAGATATGTCGGAAAGAGCGTGAAACGAAATGCGATACCTTGGGATTAGCTGAGCTAGGAACGGTTTGTCGGCGCTCCTCGTGTTCTATAGTGCAAGATAATGGCTTACCGGCAGCCTTTACTATAGCCCACGAACTGGGACACATGTAAGCCACAAGGCAAATCAATTAGTGTAACTTGTGTATCATATCAAGAGATGAAATCTTTCTACTTCTTTTTTAGTTTAAATATGCCGCACGATGACGATGATCGTTGTAAAAAATTCAATTCAAAGCCGGGAACGAATCGTAAATTACACATTATGTCAAGTGTTATGGGCGACGATATACATCCCTGGTCTTGGTCGGATTGTTCGCGTTACTATGTCTCCGAGTTCTTAGAGTAGGTTATCTCGAAATGGAATATTGTTTAAAAGAAAAAAGAAAAATTAACTTTTCATTTGTATATACCAAAGAAAAGAAGACAAAACTTGTTTAGAAGATACGCCGACCAAATTCATACCTAATTATAATACACGTTTGCCGGGTGAGATTTATTCGCTGGATCATCAGTGCAAGCTAATACATGGCAATCAATCACGCTATTGCCATATAGAGACCGATTGCAAGCGATTGTGGTGTAAAACACATGACAATAATTCTGATTGTCGTTCAAGTAATTTGCCATGGGCCGATGGAACTCCTTGCAATGGTATGCATTATTGGTGCCAGAAGGGTGAATGCGTGCCCCGCGAAGGTAACACAAGGCAAGTTATAAACGGTGGCTGGGGCTCTTGGACGCCATTCACTCCGTGCAGTTTGACTTGCGGCGGTGGGGTGCAAGAGAGTCAACGCGAATGCAATAATCCCTTACCGAAAAACGGTGGTAAATATTGCACAGGAGCTAGAAAGAAGTATCGGTCGTGTAATACGCAAAATTGCCCAACCGGTTCAATGGATGCTCGCGAACAGCAATGCTATCAAATGAATGGACGAGATTTTGGCATAAAAGCTATAGGTGTGCATACGAAATGGATACCAAAATACGGTTGTAAGTGGTTAAAATTTTTAAATTTATATGAAATAGATAATACGTTACGTTACGTTACGTTACGTTACGTTGCGTTACGTTATTATGTTACTTTTAGTGCCGCCTAAAGAAAAATGTAATTTATATTGCCGGGCCGAGGGCAATACCGGTTATTTTCGTTTATCAGAGAAAGTAATAGATGGCACCACCTGCTCCTTTGATAGTTTTGATAAATGCGTTAACGGCATTTGCCGGCCGGCTGGCTGCGATAACGAGCTGAATTCATTAGCGAAACTGGGTGAGTATAAAAGCACAAAATACGAATATTTCTATGCGTATGACAAGGCGGATATATGAATCATCATCAAAATCATTGGCAAGACATGGCTGTTGATAATAAACGTAGCGACAGGCGTGTGCTCATGCCAGACGAATAAATATATTTAGATGGCTTTTTAGATCCCTTCTTTCTTTTTTTTTTTTTTTTTTGTTTTTTTGTACACATTTCTGTATATCATTAGAAAAAAATATATAAAAATTAATGCAAAATTGCCTGAGTTTTTTTAGACAGTTCTTAATAAATTGTTGACAAGTTGTTCTTTGCAATATATTTTGTTTTTTTATATATATATATATTTTTTTTTTAAATTTAGATAAATGCGGAATTTGTGAAGGACGAAACGATACATGTGAAGAATATACCGGCAATTTTTATGTCTCCGATTTGTATCGCGTACAACCAAAATATAAAACTTATTACTATCATGTGATTACAATACCAAAAGGTAAGTTTTCATATATCAAACTCAGTCAACTTCGCCAAAGCGAGCTGAAGTGGTTCCACCCCTTCACACAAGCCGTTTCTATAAATTGATTTCATTTACTTATTTATTATTATTATTATTTTTTTTTTTTTTTTTTTTTTTTGTAATATTTGTGTTTTTTTCCATAATTACATATGCTTAAATAGTTATGCTTGAGAGAACGTTTCTAGCATTTTTTATGAACATTTCGTTTAATTACATCATCAAATCGATTCTTTTATACAAAATATATTAAAAAAAAAAAAAATTTTTTAATCGTCCGTCATTTACATAATCGTCTAATATAATTGGTTTACTTGCTTTTGTTGTTATTGTTGTTACTGTCTATGTTGTCATTATCACATTTTAATATTCCGTTCACAGTTCCTTATCACGGCAGTCTTGGCTTTGCGAATATTTATCATCTTTGTATGAATATTTTTCGCATTCATTGCGTACCGTTTCTTTTTAACACTACGTGGCTATATGTATTGACTGAGTGATTAAGTGCCTATAAATGTTTGTATGTATACCTACAGAAATATAATATATATTTCTGCAAGCATGCACTCATATCTATCTATTGCAAGAGATATAATAAGTCCGTGGAATATGTATATCGCGGGGAAATGTTCAACGAAGATCCCGTGTAGGGATTAGCATAAATAGTGGCATCTAGTTCGTCTTTTAGTCTTCTCAAGACTTTGTTTGACTGCCTGTCCCTACGATTAATTGAGAGAGAAGATGAATTTTTAAAGTCCATTTTTTTTTTTTTTTTTTTTTTTTTTTTTTTGCTATAAGAGATCTGCAAACATTTCTATTATCTTCTTCAGGCTTGAGGAAAAGAACCGCATTAAATGAGTTGTGATTGTTTTTTTTTTTTGTTTCTGAATTTTTTTTGTTGACACACAGCCGCGTTATGTGTAATCTAGACATCTAAAGCGCCGCTTTATCTTAATTGCTTTGCAAAAGTTCAAAACTTTTAGCGACAGTGTAAGCACCTGAAGCTTTCTTAATCAGTTTAAATAAATAATATTTAGAAAGAAAGAAAAAAAAAAAAAAATTCAATTTCAAGTCAGATTTTATTATCGAATTCAATCAATAAATCGGACGTCATCAATTTTCATAGGTGCTATCAAGCACTTGTACTTATAATTGCAATCATGCACATAACCTTAATCATCATAAGGCGCCAATATTTATAGATTTTGTTGCATAGTATTTTTATTGCTATAACAATTTCAATGAATATTTTTAGGTGCCTCTAATATCGTTATCGAACAGCCTGGATATCGTGATGAAAATTATATAGTATTGCGTGATGATCAGGGCAAGTCATTGTTAAACGGTGATAATGTCATCATAGCATTTCGTAATGTCAGCTATTATGCGGGTGTCGCTTATGAGTACAATGGCTCGAAAAATCCTATAGAACGTGTGAATACCACATATACGAGAAAATTGAAAAGAGATCTGGTTGTGGAGGTAACATTTAAATGATTAAAGAAATTTTACGAATTCATGCATGAACTTATAAATATTCTTTTATTGCAAGATTATCTCGATGATTACGAATGCTCATAAGGATAACGAGACATTACTTATGACTTACACGTACACTATGGATAAAACGAATTATCTCGAACATGAAGTAGAGATTTATCGCTGGGAAATGCAACAATGGAGTAACTGTGATGCCTTGTGTCATGGCAGCATGTATCGTTTGCCGGTATGCGTTAGCACAATACAAGCTTTGAAAGTCGCGCCACAATTCTGCGATCCGTCAGCTAAACCTAATGCGGATTATAGAGTCTGTAACACGGAATGTTTGCTAACGTAAGTAAATTGATTATGTTAAACCTAAGCTTCTAGGCTTTTTTGATTATTGAGTTTGTATTTTTTTTTTAATTTAATCATTCTAAAGGTTGAATGTTACCAGCATTTCGGAGTGCTCGTCATCGTGTGGCTTACTGGGCACGAGGGAGAAAACTTATCATTGCATACAAAATCTTCCCGATATGGGGCGCTCTAACATTGTGGATTTAAAATATTGTGCCTCGAAGTTTGAGTTCGACGTTCATGAGGAGTGCCGCGAAGGTTGTTGGCGCTATAAGGAGTGGACACCAGTAAGACGAACTTTCTCTTTTCTCTTCCTATTAATATTACATTTATAAATACATAAATTTAAATTGGAAATTATTTTTTTTTTAGTGTTCGAAAACATGCGGTCTTGGCGTACAAACTCGTAGTATAGCCTGTTATTTTAATCAAACTTTTGTGCCCGATGAGTACTGCAATTTAAAGACCAAGGCTAACTATAGGGAGACAACACGCATTTGTAATCAAGAGAACTGTCAGCAAAGCACTGCCGTAACGGTTAGTTTTTCCATTTTCAACCATCCATTTTAATCCCAAATTTTTGATCTCATTTACTATAACTTCTTCTACTTAGAAAGTTTCCCGTGCTGCTTTAAGTCAGCATTTTGCCTATAATTGGTGGACTAGCGATTGGGGTGCATGCGATGCAAATTGTGAGAAGAATCGTACTGTTGTGTGTCGTAACCCATTCGGCAACGCCTGTCCTGCGGATAAAAAGCCTCTTAGTAAACGTAAATGTTGCGCAATAAAATATGTATCAAATTGGTCGAACGTAAGTCTTCATGTTCCTATAGCCGTTGCGAAGGCTTTTCATTGCATTTGACTAACGTTTTAACTTTTACATATACACACAAAGCAAGCCCCTTTTCATTTCCCTTCTTTGTTTCTCTTTTACAAAACTGCTGCTCTTCTGCCTACACACACACACGCTTGCGCACAGTGTTCAGTGCAATGTGGCAACGGTGTACGACGCAAGGAGCTGCATTGTGCTCGTGTCTATAAACCGGAAATTAAAGGTACACCACGTCGACGCGAGTTCATAGACTCGTCTTATTGCCGTCATTTGCGTGTGCCGAAACCGAAACGTACCCATAAAGTGTGCAAAATTAGCTGCAAATGGTCCGTAACTAATTGGAGTCCATGTCAAGCCGATTGTTCAGACGACTATCAATCACGTTCGGTATATTGCGAATCGGCCTTTGGTAATCCAATTAATTTGACAAACTGCGACGAATCAAAGAAGCCGCCTGAACGTAAAATTTGCAATAATTGCATTAAACGGGAATACAAGACGTTAAGTGATGTAAGATAAACTTCCTTTAAATCTTTCTACAGATATTCGTAGAACATTTATACGCTATGCCTTCTTTTTTCCTTAATTATTATTTTCGAAGACATGTGACGGTGATGGGACGATAAGTGTTATGTGGGGAGAATAGATATATAGAATTTGGTTTTCTTTTTTTTGACATCTGAAATCTTAAGTAACCCTATACTTTACCATACACAATACTAGACAGCTTTAAAAACACACCAAAAAAAGAAAAAAACATAATTTTCTTGCTTGATATCGTAGCATGTGATGTTACAACAAAATGGTGATAACTTTCCTCACACAATTAATCCCGTTACTAACATGAGAATGGTGTGAATAAATCGACTGATCCAGTCGCAATAATCTTTTAATCTTAGTTTAAAAAGAAATCAGGAGAGGCAGACGTTAATGCCCCTACAAAGCTGGCTTCTTAAAGAATAGCCTATAATAGAGCCAATCTTCCCAGATTGGAATCGCGATCACTTAAAAGCCGACTGCCAATCGATATTTTGTCTTTCCCTTTTCTTAGGCGCTATGTACATTACATGTTCTCGAATTACTCAAATTTGGTTTTATAAAATAATTAATTAATAAATAGTTGCAATTAATCCGTCCTAAAATCTTCATTTAAGGCTCCGTAGGTTATTAGATCATGTAGATCGGGTTCGAGGCTTCACAAAATGATTATTGTTTTTATCATTCAATAACTTTTCAAAGATGCGCCAAAGTCCGAAATTTTTGCAATTAAACGCCGTGCTTTGCTAAAGCATTCTTCCTTGCTCATGGTCCACTTAATCATCGATTCGTTAAGTGTTTGCTTTGGTCGCTCTGAGATCTCGTTGACTTATGGAATATGGGAAGAGAAAGTAAACAGACAGATTACTTTTCAAGTAGCCTCTTCAAGGACTAATCATTGTGCATCATCATATTTTCCGTCCTCTAAGTCTCTCTCTAGTCATGTTTTTGTTATTATTATGGTTACAGTCAGAGAAATAAATTCAAAGGCTAAGGTCTTAAAGCATTATTGATTATTGTTTGGATGTAGTAGCGTTGTGCCGTTTATCACACACTTATGGCGGCTATGTGTCGTTTGTGTGAAAGTCATGTGTCGTTTTTATGGAAATCATGTGCCTTGTGAAGGTCATGTGCCCTGAGAAGAAAGCCCTATGTGTCTGTAAAGGCTAGACTTTCGTATGATATACATTTTTTGTGGTTATCTTACATAGAAAATTATTTTAATGAATAACTGATCTTAGCTTATACAATAATACGGCAGTTGTAAGACTCTCAGAAAACGAATTAAAATCTGTAGATGACACTTGAAAATTTATCGCGAAAGATAAGCGAATTTTTAATTCGAATTTTATTCTTTGGTTCTCTCTCTCTCTCTCTCTCTCTCTCTCTCTCTCTCTCTCTCTCTCTCTCTATGGTTTTTTCTTTCTTATTGTCTTCATTAGTGCAATTGTGAAGGTAACCGTCGGCGGCGTATGCTCTGCTATGATTCACAAAGACGTCGTTTGCCTTGTCCAACTAAGGAGAAAATCTTTCGAGAAAAATGCACACCGCCGCGTCATTGTCATCCTACTTCGTGTTATGATATAAGACGATTTTTACGCACCTATGAAGATCGAGAATACACTATATATGTGCGTTCAATGCCAAAGAAGATTTATTGCCATGATATGAGTACATCGCCGAAGGAATTTGTAACGGTAAATGCTACCGAAAATTATTCGATATATTATGATAATAAAACTTATCATCCGGATAAATGTCCGCCTGAGTCCAGAGATCTTGAGTTTTCGGATAAAAGTTCAAATCCAGGACGTACCAGTTTTCGCAAAATACGTATCGATTTAACGACATTGCGAATAGATGAAAATGACTTTACTTTTGCCGAGAGCAGAGGACGACCACAATCGTATGGTTCGGCTGGTGATTGCTATAATCGACGAAAAAATTGCCCGCAAGGTGATTTTTCAATCAACTTAGAGCATACGGGATTTCATTTAAGGCACGGGACAGTCTGGGAGCCCTATGGTCATCACGTGGTAATGAAGGAATCAAGTTCGGTTAGTATGGAACTAAAAAAAGCGGGCAGTTGAAGATTGTCTTAATTTTTTTTTTTTTGGTTTCTCCATAGAATTCACGTATGTCGTACCGGGCTTTATGTGGTGGCTGGTGTGGTGGTTGCCGAATAGCTGGCAATTCTGCTTTATATTTGGATGTGTGATGCGAACGAGTTAACAACAACAGTTGTTATAGCTAATTGTGTTATAGCCGTTGCTCTATCAAAAAATTGCAATTTATATCTAACTATGGTGCTAAAACTGCTGTTTTAATTGCGTTTCGTTGCTTATTCTACAAGCAATTGAATGCAAATTTTGTATCTTATGCATTTATACCGGGTAAAACGAAAAAAATATACTTCAAGAATTTCAACTTCCATTGACAGAGTTACAAATCGTACAAAAACCGTAACTCTTCTCGCAGCTAAATGAGAATGATGGCGAGCGAACGAGAGAGGGAAGCTCAGAGCCGACAATAGAATTTCTTGAATGAAATCCACAAAAATCACATAAATTAATAAACACATTTAGCTCTGAATCCTGACAGACAGAGAGGCAGAATGAAAGAGAGAGATAGATAAGGAAAGTGTTAACTTACAGATATCTCTCATCATATAACGCGGATCAATGAGTAGCAAAATAAATCAAAATCGTTTAACACTTGTTAAGCATACAACAATGAGTGTATTTTAGTTTACACGTATATATATATTTTTTTTTTTTTTTATATATATATATATATATAAAAAAAACTGCGTTTTCAAGTTGAATTTTCTCAACTTTTTATAAAATATAAAAAAATAATTATAATTAAAATAAATGTAATTATTATTACAATTTAATGCGCACAAATGTTTCTGTCATAGTATTAAACACTCATCAACATTTAGTTATTTAGGAATTTTTTTTTTTTTTTTTGATTTTATTAAATTAAAAAGAATTAACAATTATTTAGAATTTAATAAATGTCGATTTGTGTGAGTGTTGTAAACGATTGAAATTAATTAAATCAAGTATTCTTTATAAATAATAAACGACCAATTATAGATATAATTGTAAAACATTAAATAATAATAAGAAAAATAGTAAAAGTCAAATATAATAATAACACAATTAAAAATAATAAGTAAAAACATTATAGTTGGCCATGGCCCACCAATGAATGAATTGTTCACTACACCATATAATTGTTCATGTTCATATAAATGTTCATTTTTTCAAAATAAACCGTTAAAGGGGAAAATGCTCAAAAAAATACTCCCATCCGAATTTTTTTAAATGTGGTTCCTTCATAAAACCAAAAAAAAAAAAAAAAAAAAAACACTTCAAAGCACCAAATTTCATCAAAGTATTTCAAAAAATTACTGTCTATAGGTTAAACCCAAGAAAACAAAATGGACAGACGGGCAGACGGATAAACTAAAGGGACCAGAATCACTTTCTTAATACCGATCGATATAATAAAAGCTGCGTTTACCTCAAGTCCTTTCGGGTGCCGCTCTACCCCGCAAACTTGTTATACTCTTCTACTAGGAATAAATCTTCAAAAGTTTTATACCTTCAGTGAAAGGTTTTATGTTCGAAAACATCAAAAACTTATCCTGCAATTTACTTTGTCAATATCAAGTTTGCTGTAAAGCGCGCAGGGACAAGAACAAGTAGAATATTTTAAGAATTTGAAAGATATGTTTGAACTTTTCATCTTCCCTTTGAAGCTCAAAATTCTCATCCGTTTACTTATCGAAAATTTGTGCAACATCATCTTCACTTGAGTTGAAGGTTAAGATTGAAGAAATTTGTTTGGGGACTAGAAAAAGGGCGGAAATATTTAAATGATTTCATAAAGGGTGTTCCAAAATGCCATACTTGATGCAATTAAATTCATAATCCGATCGTAGTTTGTATGAAATTTGAAAACTGTGGCCGCCGGACTTTCATTATTCTTCAGTAATGAAAACGCGTTGCTCTCTCCTTTAATGCTCCATTTTTATTAACCTTAAACTGTTAGTTGTCAAATTGTTTTCCTTTTCCTTTTTTTTTTTTCTTTTTGTGCTGCCGACACTACCGCATGCATCTATACAATTATATAAAATAATGAATGAAAGGTATTAATTATTAAAATTTCTTGAAAAATAATTTATTTAAAATATATTTTAAAAAAAAATTGTGTTTTTAAATTATTATTGATTTTGTAAATAATTAAAAAAAAAAAAAAAAAATATTAAGAAAAAAAAGAAAAGAAAAATTTTAAAACAAATGATTCTTGTAGTAAAAATTTTTCCAACAATTGCCATAATTTAGTTTAAAATTTATCCTAATATTATTCAAAACGATTTTCGAACGAACAAAGGGCCTTTTTTTCTCTATCTCTCACCAAATACTTGATCGAATATTTGGGATCTCCTTACAATATTCTTTCAACTCAACGCTGAATGAAAGCGTAATTAATAATTTTGTATTAATTAATTAATTATTGCTTAAAAAAACAAAATCCCCGTTTTAAACTAATTTTAAGAGATTTTTAGAATTTTTTTTTTTTCGTTGTGCTTTTCGAATTTGGTTTTGAATTTGCTTTATCGTATTTAATATAAATTAATCACTTAATGCACTTAATGCACTTAATGAACGAAGTATAACTGCCAAATTTCAATTTAATATCATTTTTATTATCATTATTATAAAAGGTTAACGCAAACATTGCCTTCTCTTCTTTACACACATTTTTCTCTATATATGCAAAAAAAAAAGTGTTCATCGTCGTCCACTTATGAATATCGTATGTTGTACGACAATCCCTTGCCCTGCCTTTATCGAGCTGCCATTTAATGAATCTCTGAAAAAGTAACTTACACGTTTTTCAGTCCCAAGAAGGAAAGGAAGGCCCTTCGGTGTTCATGATATAAAATTTAAAAAAAAAAAAAAATATATATATATATATATAAAAATAAATTGTATATCTATTTTAATACATTTTTTAATATTTCAAGTCATAATTGTTAGTTATTTCACATGTGTGCCTGTATGCCTATGTTTGTGTGTTATTGTGCCTAAAATTAAAATATACATATTATTCTATAAGATTTATGTGTTTTATTTTTTGTTTTTTTATTTCATTTTAATTATTTAATAAAAATTTTCATGTGCGATTATTTTAAAGAAAATGCATAAGAGAATAACAAATGAAATTATAATCTTTAAGTACACATTTATTTAATACAAAAATTTGATTAAAAAAAAAAAAAGAATTTTTTTTATAAAAAAAAAAAATCGAAAGAAAATTTTATTCGAAAATTGGGGGTAACTCTCAATCCGTAACAATTTCAAAAATTACGCCATTTATTTATTATCCAAACAAGAAAAAACATTATGGTCTGGTAAGGCCCTAATCCATCACTAATCCGCTTAAACGATTACCCCATTCACCAAGAATTGTACATTGATGCGAAATCAGTTAAGAGGCCGTTTGATTCGCTTATTGATTCCCTTCCATGAAAATGGTTAGAAGAAGAAAAAAAAAAACCTTTAATATAATTTTTAAATAATTTACCCACTTTGTTATTACAAACTACAAGAGCAAAGGCAAGATTACTAATATTCGTTTGATCCTTTAATCGCCTCCGTATTCCAGATTTCATATTATTTTTTATATTATCTTATGTCTTTTTATATATCGTACCCTCGATACAAAATCATTTTCCAAATCAATTCCCGAATTGATCTACGTTTGTCTGTCGTTTTGTACGTCTCTTGAATCTTGTTTTGTTGTCTTCAACCTATAAGCAATTTTTTACTTATTTTAAAGAGATTTGGTATACTGAAATATCTTGGACCAAGAACAAACACTATTCAAGATAGTTCAGAACGTACTTTTGAATTACTTCCCCTATAATACCTTCTTTAGAAAAGTCGCTATGTGAGTAACTGAACGATGGTTTAAGGTATTCAATGATGGATCGTGTCCCATTGATCGACTCCCTAGATCAGATTGGCAATCACTCAATTCGGAGAGTACCCAAAACGCCCAATAGCATCGTTCGTCCTGCTGTTCTACGCTTCTACCTTAACGATCCTAAGGTTTAGGTTACTAAGATCTGCAGAACTTAGTAAAAAAAAAATAAAAAACTATTAATGATTGCTATTGCCATAATAAACTACGACTTCAGCACATTTCAAGCCGAAATGAATCTTTTTGGCCGCGTCCTCTTTTCCGATTTATGGCAAGTCTTGCTTCCTAATTAATTCCTACATATTTATTAATAATTAATATATTCTTCAAAGCTACGTCATTCTGAGTCAACACAATCACGTCCACCTGTCCATCTGTATGCTGTAGAGTTTATTCTGAAGAAAACTAAAATGTGGACTTCCTTGAGGGATGCCTTGTTTTGCGTGGAAAGGCTTGTCGCTTACGATGACTAACTGAATCGACATGAATCATTCATTTTTGATGCTTTTGAATATTAAGTAAAAAACAACAACGAATATAACGTAGGTATATATATTATGTCTATTCTGTTTTACACATTGGCTTTAAACTCAAAGGTAGACACGTCAGTACTTTGAAAGGGGAAAAAAAACTACACCTATTTTCTCTGACTTTTATAGATTGTTTGAAAAAGAAAATTTTTCTAGGGAGAAAAAAAAAACTGAAAATTCGAATTTGCCAAAGAGTTATTCAAACATTAAAAGAACGAAGGCAAAGATCGGGGGAAGGCGGAAAACTAGATTGATTGGAAGCATTACAATATGGAAGGAAATTTTGATAGTGGACCAAGTTCTTCATTTCCCGAGCGTAGACCGGCATCGCGATCGCCCTCGCCAGGAATCGATCGTAGATTTTCAATAACACCCGAAAGTGTCGGCATGGATCAACCGCAGAGGCCAATATACAATCGTTTAAAGCATGCCATCCCATCTGACGATAGTTTTCCTGAACGTGAACCTGATATCGTCACGAATATGCATGTAGATATACGAGATAGGTATGGTGAGTGGCGGGCGAATGTCCGAGATCCGGAAGGTTTTGAACGGCAAATTCGTAGGGTGCGCATTAATCCGGCACCTCAAGTATCGAATATAGAATGTAATCGCATTCCTGCTGCGACTACAGTTAGAGAAGTGAACGCTCGCTGCAATAGAGGCAATAGAGATTCATTTCTCGATATTTTGGCGTCTGCTTTCCTCTCTGGTCTAGAGTACACGCTAACGTGTTTTATGCCCAGGATCTATAGTTCAATGTCAAATCTTAATACTTCCAAGAAGCAGACACAATTAACAAAGAATCGTTGTTGCATGCAGCGCGCGGACAACATTCGAACAAATGTAATGCCAATGGGCGAAATTCCCACGGAATACTATGAAAAGCAATTGGAAAAATATTGGAATTGCGATATGTTTGTAAGTGATTCAGCCAAAATTATTGAGCAATTGAATCAAATGTTTCTAACGCGTTTGAGAGATGTCGACGTTAAAGGAAAAGGTAACAGAGATGTAAGTGATTGTAATTTGTAGGTTACGAATGGGCGGGGAAAATAATTTAAGCGATTTTTTCAATTGCTTCCATAGTTGAAATTGATTACTTACCAGGAGTGGGTAGATATTCTTCTTAAATCTAATATATTGCTACTCATTAATATGGCGGAATTAGAATCGGATATATGTGAGCGTTTGGAATGCTTACCTCATCTTATGAATACAGATCAACGTGATAACGAAAGCGACGAGTTACTGAAAAGTCGCAGAGACATAAATTCCTTAATCAAAATCATCCAGAATGCCTATCGTAATGAGAAGTGGGACTTTGAGGGTGTATCCTTTGAAACCATATCATTGCAGGACGTACTGGGTGCAGACAAACCAAATATCCAAAATCGTCCCCACGAACTTGGTGCGGCCGATGTAGAGGCAAGTTTCATATCATCAGGCTTTCAATGGCGATCTATTGTTGTATTATCTATTATTTATATTGTAGAAACAGTCCGCTGCTAATCTTGAACGGGAACAGAAGGTGCGTAGCAGCTATTTTTGAGACCGATTCAAATATTAGCCTTAATCCTTTCAAAAATTATGCGTTTATTATTTATTTATATATTTATGTCTTTAACTCAATAAATTTTTGGCGATATAATTAATTAATTAATTAAATTCGCTTCTGTTTTTTCCCGTATTCTTTGCGCTTTTATTCCATCTCGATGAAGCTTCGTTACGATATAAAGACACTGGCAACCGAGGTTGCTGAAAAGCATGATGAAATTCAAACGCTCAGGAAGAAGTTTGCTCTCTTAGAAGAAGAAGTGCAGAAGACTCGGGAAAATGTCCGCCTTAAGGAGGAAATCGTTAAAGGGCTTTGCAACGAGTTTAACTGCGCCAATAACAAGGTGTCTATAAATCAATCGAACACTCGTGTCCATCCATGTCATTCATGTCTTAAGAAGAAAGAGCAATAAAAAAAGATCTTTTTATGTAGAGACAAGTAAACGAAAAAAGAGAAACTTATCTAGAAATGTTTTTGCGTCTTGAGTCTTCGGGATTTCTTATACAGTTATGGTTCTTTGTTTTCTTCTTTTTTCCGCTTGAAATCCGCCCATGTCACAAAACATAATGCCGACCAAAAAAAAAAAAAAAAAAAAAAAAACTGAAAAAGCTTCTCTCCCGGAACTATATAGAAAACGGGGCGACTATTTCGTCAACCATTTTGAAATCTGGGCATAGATTCATCTGTAAGTACACGGCACAACCCTTGGATTTCAAAGTGGAGACGGTATGTTGTTAGTGTTCGTTGACAACCAACAAGATTTTTCTATTCTTTGAAATTGCAGCACAAAGACGATTGCTCGACTCATTGCGATGCTGTAAGACCCGGTGCAAGTGGGGAGGAAGAAGAGATATTGAAACTACTGAAGACCGAGTTAAACGAATTCTTTGAAATGAATAAAGAATACAATAAGCAAAGCTTGGAAATGCATCGTAGAATGTTCGAATTCATGATTGAGAAGTCGGTATGAATTCAAAAATCTTAACATTCGCTTGTTTGTTCAGCGTACGGAATGATCGAAACTTCTTTCACAGGAATGTGATAAACTTGAAGCATTTCGTTTATTAGACTGTATACGATGTAAGTTTGTCGATTTAGCATCGTCTGGTACTGATACGGAATTGAAAAATGACGAAAAAGAAGAAAGCAAAGATTCTTGAGTCCCTATGTAGTGCGCAAAAAAGTTCTGGATCAAAACAAATTGTGGAAAAATTTAGCTTAGGTAAGCAATCGAGCAGATAAATTTTTAGCATTATTGAATATGTTCGCCGTAAATTTTAAAAAAACATTTCCTTTTTCCAATTTTTGTCACATAATTAGTATTTTTTCCCTCTTATTTTATATTAATACAAAAAAGTCGACTAATAAAAAAAATATCATAAGGCATATGAGATGAAACTTCAGCAAAGTCTTGTTAAACCATTTCATGATTTTTGTACTGCTATAGTCATTCGACTCGACTCGGCTTCACTTTCACTTTAGGTGGGTGAAATTGGTGATTTTTTCTTCATTGATCGATGCCACGGCCGCACATTTCCCGGCTTCTCGGACATGAGGAGAGGAAACTTTTCGCTTAATGTGCCGAGCGCGAGCCAAATCGGGCTTACCAACGAGATAGAAGATTACACTACTAAGTATTCAAATGTTAACCTATTTTTAACTCTATAACAGAGGCGCTTACACTCAACTCAATCAATCAAATTTAATTTCTCATTATATTGCTTTGCACAATCTTCGGATCATCTTAAGAATTGCTGCAGAACGTTTTTGTTAATTTTCGATAATAAAAACTCAGTGTCCGACAAGCTATTCGGAAGCTTATGAACGAGTGATACATCCAGCGTTAATCACTTGCCTTCCACAGTGAGTAGCCTTATTCCAATAATTCTAAAACCATATTCTAGAATAGGCCTCACTAACAATCGACTAGGTTAAGGATCTTCTTTGACTAACGTATTATTTCCCATCGGTGCTTATAGGTGTATTGAAGGATGGCAGAATCGAGATCAGTAATTGAAAAAGTTGATGAAAAAGATGAAAAGTCATTTGCTTACATTTATTAATACTTAGTAAGATTAAGTTAGTATTGTTGAAATATTTTACGACCATTCGATCTATAAACGAGTTGAACGTCGTCATCACGAATTAAAATACGACAATGTTTCATGAGATTCGGTCATTTTGCGAAAAAAGATTTTATACGAAAAACAAATTAATTATTTTTTCTTTAGAACACCTTTTTAGCCTCACTCACATAGCTCGTGTTTTTGCATCCAATTTTGCGTTAAAGGTATATTAAATTTTTGAATGCAAAAGCCAAATGGTCTTGTGACAGAACCCCTTTTTATGATGCAGATCACTTCAGAAAGCGATTTTGGCTGTCCGCCCATCCGGCCTATATTGTGCTATAAGTTGTATAAGAGATTTTAATGAAATTTATTGCATTGACTTGTTTTGGCCCAAGGACGAATGCTATTGAAAATGGTTCAAATCGGGCCAGTTTTTCGACCACTAATCCTCAAATAAAATTTTTCCTTTGAACAGTCGTTGTATGAATAAGTGCATTAAACCAAGGCGTCAAGTAATAATGAGCCGTTGTCCACTATGTCTACAATGTTTTCACTTGTATGGACTTTATTTTGTTTAAAACAATTTTAAAAAATATGAAACTTTATTTTTATATTATGTAGGTGTTGTCTTTTTATTTCTTTCTTTATTTTTATTTTTTTTTTTCGGTCCATTGTTAATAATAATAATAATAAATATGTATATACGTATGTATTAGTAAAGTATGCACATATGTGAAAAATAATATTTTAAATAATAAAGAGTAGAGACATGTAAAATTTTCTTAATGCTTAAAACAAACACTTTACAAACTGTTTTGTATTTTTAGATGATTCACAAAAGATTTGGCAAAATTTCCTTAAAAAAATTATGCAAATCTATGCAAAAATTCATCATAAAATCCATTTTCGGTCTTCGTCTCAGACAACTATAGATTCTGTAGCCGCATGTTTCTGTTATGATATTTGTATCCTTTTTATATAGTTGCTGCTGTTGTTGTTCATATTGTTGTTCATATTGTTGTTGTTGTTGTTGTTGTTGTTGTTGTTGATTGATATTATTGCTATTATTGCTCTTATTGTTGTTATTGCCGTTGCTATCGGAGATGTATAGAGTAGTTAATGTAATGCTTGGAAAAAATCTTTTTGGTCGCAAAGATTTAGAAGCATTTGCGATGCACAATACCGGGACCGGATTCATCGTATTCTTGCTTCGAGATCCACATCTGTTGGAAGGTGGAAAGGGAAGCCAAAATGGAGCCACCAATCCAGACGGAGTACTTTCTTTCAGGTGGAGCGATAATCTTAATTTTAATAGTTGAAGGAGCCAAGGCAGTGATTTCCTTTTGCATACGATCAGCAATACCGGGATACATAGTGGTACCACCAGACAACACAGAGTTAGCGTATAAATCTTTACGGATGTCGACATCGCACTTCATGATCGAATTGTAAACAGTCTCATGGATACCACACGATTCCATACCCAAGAAGGATGGTTGGAAGAGAGCCTCAGGGCAACGGAAACGCTCATTGCCAATAGTAATTACTTGACCGTCAGGCAATTCATAGGATTTCTCCAATGAGGTAGAAGCGGCAGCAGTAGCCATTTCTTGCTCAAAGTCCAAAGCAACATAGCACAATTTCTCTTTAATATCACGCACGATTTCACGTTCAGCTGTAGTGGTGAACGAGTAGCCACGTTCAGTCAAAATTTTCATAAGATAATCAGTCAAATCACGACCAGCCAAATCCAAACGCAAGATGGCATGAGGTAAAGCGAAACCTTCATAAATGGGGACAGTGTGCGATACACCATCACCAGAATCCAATACAATACCAGTGGTACGACCGGAAGCGTATAAGGACAATACAGCCTGAATGGCTACGTACATGGCTGGCGAATTGAAAGTTTCAAACATGATTTGTGTCATCTTTTCACGATTAGCCTTGGGATTCAATGGGGCCTCAGTCAATAATACTGGATGTTCTTCGGGGGCCACACGCAACTCATTGTAGAATGTGTGATGCCAGATCTTTTCCATATCATCCCAATTGGTGATGATGCCGTGTTCGATGGGATATTTTAAAGTTAAAATACCACGTTTGCTTTGAGCCTCGTCACCAACGTAGGAATCTTTTTGACCCATACCGACCATCACACCCTGATGACGAGGACGACCAACAATCGATGGGAAGACAGCACGGGGGGCATCATCACCAGCGAAGCCGGCTTTGCACATGCCCGAACCGTTGTCAATAACTAAAGCACCAGCATCATCATCACACATTTTGTTAGTTTATAGGGTTTCTGCACAGGAAGAAAGAGAAACTCATGACAGTTAGGAAATTTTAACGCAAAAATCTAACTTTATGGTTAATGATGCTTAGTTGTTTATTAGCGAGCATTTTGCCTTTGTTCTTTTTTTTCTTCTTTCTTAAAAGAATAACTAGCGAGAAACCTATTGGAAGGAGTCATTCGGTTAATCTGCTTGCTTTTCAATATAAGAAAGAAATTTTATCTGACTTCGAACTGAGCTTACTGAGCAATTCGTACTGTTAGTTTGGAGCTTTTTCTTCGATTCGTACATCTCTACTTCTGGCACCGATTATGCTAACAAATTGAACGAAGGAAAACAGAGGAAACGATTGGTGCCTGGATCTGTCTATTTGTCTATGACGTTCTTTCCTGACATCGAAGGTATATACCTTAAAACTGCTCCCAGCATAATGAAAGTCATTTCAAAATTTCTGGTCGAAATTGGCTAAACCGTTACCGAAGTTCGCCTAGAATTACTATACAATCGTGCGTAAAACTTTGTACTGTTCGTGTGGTTGATTTTCGCTTTTATTTACTTTTTTTTATTTTTACTAATTAACGCAATTAGTCAGGGGTAATAAGGTGAGGATTAAAAAGATATGAAGAAAGAGCAGGAGATAACGACGTGGGCGCAGCCTAGTGAATGTAATTCGTTATGTTATGCATTTACGGGCTGAGTGCTCAGTAAACTCTAGTGCATTTATTGAAAATGGAACTCGCGAGCTCTACTTCTATTGTTAAGACTCCTAAGGAATTGTCTGCTCATTCGCGTCATGTGAGCACATTTCGCTTATGTTATTGGCCAAGTCCCAAGGTGAACGCGATGACAGCTTTGACCAAAGTCGCTTTCATCTTACTTACTATCTAACCATTTCGGATATTTTTTTTTAACTCCATTAAATAAATAAATGTTAATTAAATATACTTTTAAACTTCTTAAGAGTGAAGCTTAGCAGGAGCTTGATTATGTTTTTTTTTTTTAATATTTTTGAAAAGTTCACTTGGACCTTTTTCCAAACTAAACGGTTTTCTTGCTTTTTTGATTTCTTAACAGAAATTTAGCTTCCATTTCGATTAGGTAAGTAAAAGGAAGAAGATTTACTCCGGTTTATGGTGTTCGATGCCGAGTAAACCCGCAAAATCCGATAGCTACAGATTAGGGGTTCGGTGTAACGGCTCTCTACTCGTTCACGGCGTTCGAGAAAATATGCATTTTTCTTTTTGTTGAATGAAATATCTCCCGATCTCGGTAAAATTGGGATCGAATTTGCTCGATATCGAGAACCATAAGTCGGTTGGTTTTTTCACAGAATATTTTAATATGTGTTTCAATTCAATTACTTATTGGTAATAAACGAGAACTACGCGCAGTCATAGAGGGTCAGGTAAGTTCCCCGGTCTTCCATGGTCGTTATAATTGCAATTAAATTATAGCCACATATGGTTATCAAGAGCTGACCGACGCTACATGATCTGTATTTTGTTGATCCGCTATAAAAATATTTTTTATTCTTTTTTTAACACATTTCTTACGGATAAAAAATATTTCTTATATTTTTTTGTTAATATTCATAAAAAGAAAAAAACTATAAACTGTATTAAAGGCCTTTTTTTTTTTTTAAATTTTGTCCAGTTAAAGTGAAAATTCTTTTTATTTTATAAATTTCTTTAAAAATTTATATGAATTTTTTTTGTATATATTTAAAGAAAAGATAAAGAAAATTTTATTATTTAATTTTAATTTTTTTTTTTTAAGGTTATGCTAAGCAACGCAACTTGCATAAGCGAAATGCTTGTTGGAAATTCGATATATTTACAAAGTTCGCAAAATAAAAAAAAAAATAAAATTTCCGCATTTCTTTTCTTTTTATATTTTAAGAGAAAAGCACAAAAGCATTTCCTTTTTTTCAGCTTGAAATCACTTAATAAAATATCCTTTGTAGCCTTAATTTTTTATTTTTCTTACATATTTTTGTTAAAATTAAATAATTTTTTTTTTTTTTCTTTTTTTTTTTTTTTTTTGTTTAAGAGCTATAATCACCTTTATTGGTCAACAATTGAAAAATATTTAAAAATTTTTTTTTAAAGAAATGATTCTTTTTTTTTTTTTTTTGTTTTTGTTTTCTTCTGATCGTTCGTTGTATGGATCCTTGTTGGCGGCTAAACTCAACAACAAATGGAAGCGAAAATGAAATGTTTTCCCTTTATAAGATTTTTTGTGTGTATGTATACATGCAGTCTATTCTATACATATGCAAAAGTTTCTGTTCTTATAATTGTATTTGATTTGATTCGATTTTCTCAAAATAAACAGTAAAATCATTGTCTAACACATACATGCACAAAATGAAATGCGCGAAAAACTTTATTTATTTATTTATTTTTTTTTTTTTTTGTAATTTTCTTTATTTTTGTATTTTTGCTAACAGGCACTAATTTAGTCACATACTCTCCTTATTCTCTGTATTTTTGGGGAAATTTATAGTACAGAGCTAACTTCTTGGCTAATGCAGTCAACTAAATTTCTTATCAATTGTTTATAAACTTGCGAAGAGGGCAGACGCCTATACTGAAAAGCATTGAAAACTAATATTAAGTCATAATTATTGTGTGCTTGTTTCCTTAGTCCAACAAGAGAAAGAATTTCATGGGCGGGGGGGGAGGTGCTGGGGACCACTGTAAATGTAAATTTTTCAAAAAATCACTTTTTGAAAATCACTTGAATATCAATCATGATCCTTCCATCCGTCCTTGTTGGATATACTCATAAAATTTATCATTATGATTGTGTATATGCTACACGTCACGTTTTTTGAAAGATAGTTTTGTCAGTTTGTCAGTTAATTTCATATTACACACACTCTGTTTTTGACGAGAATACGAGCATATCGCTAAAGAGGTCGATACGGTTCACTGATTAAATATGCGATTATGATATAATTATGATATGAAAAGATAACTGTGGGTATGGCATAACCAAGTGACTAAGAAACGTAACTATCAAGTCGTTATATACAGATTCAAGCGCCACTACGGTAGACCATACTTTAATTACAATATATGCGTGATCTTAGCTATAATGAGTGCTTGCTCGAAATAAAAGCTCATCACTTATCCACGCTCGAGCACATACCTTTCATGCTGCGGCCCTCTCTTCACCTTCTCTCCCCCTCCATCGTACTACAGATGTAGGCAGTATTCCTTTACTGATTCTAAAATATTAAGTAAAAAAAGAACTTCGTAAACCACAGCTGAAGCCTGAAAATTAATTTTTTTGGTTACATGATTTTCCAAAACGCAATGAAGCGTATCTTGAACAGTCGCCACACTTTTCGTTCAATCTGTAATATGTTCGAAATAGCCTTTTAAGAGAAGTGCGCAGGCGCCTTTCGACATGTAAATTACGACATTGGTTATAAACGGCCGTTTGACATGTTTTGGTCAAAAATTGAACTTTTTCTCATTGGGGGCAAAAAAAAAAAAAATGTCACAAAATTTCGTCCATATTTTTAAAATTCCCTACGTATTACTTTAGTTAATAGGTGCGTAGAATAAGAGATTTTTTTCTTCTTTTTTAAGTTACTAGCCATAGGACTTATTAGATTGAAGATGTCTCGCGGGAAAGTCTCCCTTGCTAATTGTTTTTTTAATATTTTTCAAAACTAGTTTTTGTCTTAAGATCTATGCTTAACAACTTACTTGAATATTATTAGATTGTAATATTTTTTTTTTTTTTAATGTATGAGTGTGTGTGCGTGATTTTTTTAATCGATTACGACACCATTAAGTTGGTAAAAGTTCGAACGCCCATAGTTTTTCATTTTTCTTAAAAATACTTCCGAAATATTCCTCTCTTCAAGACTTTAATATTTTAAGCGTTCGTCCTTAGTTCGTCTCACCTACCTATTATTTTTCTCAGCATACGACACTTATGATACGCTTTCTGTCGTTTTGTAGAATGTGATACTTTGAAATAGTAGCGAAATTCTCTTTAAGAAGAAAAGAAGCTACGCTTCTACACACTTTAGTAGAGGGTCCCTCTAGAAGAGTAGTTCATCACTGCACTCATTATTTCCACAAATCTATAACGAACATATCTTAAGTCTAATGAGATTCTACTGCCCATCACTGCCCATGCTTAATGAGAGTTTGTTGAAGACTAAATCGAGCTTCTTCGAAACCATCTGTGCTATAATGGAGAAGTAAAAACAACTGACAAGTTCCAGGATACAGGGGAAGAGCCTGAAATCACCACTAACAAAAAGATGGCACAGGGTCAGCGGAGTACTCGTTTCGTTTGAAGTGTATTAGAATGATAAAATGACGGAATCGAGATACAGACGACATTATCATATTCTTTGGTAGTAATTATATTTGCAGGCCGGTTTCCCTAACCATCTCCGTATCACTCCCTTGATTAGCGCACTTGCCCGTTGGTCTGTTGAATTGCCTGTTCTTTCGCTTGTCCCTTCCGAGCTTTCGTTTGCCTGTATCCCTGCTTGTTCGTCAGTCAGCCCATTTGCCTGTCCGTACGTTTGTCAGTACGTCTATCCGTTCACCAAAAGGCAAATTTGTTAATGGGACTGAATGTCCGTGCGTCTTCTTGTCCATTCGTCCATCCATCTACGCATCCTTCCGTCTCTCAAGTTATCCGCCCCTTCATCTGCCCGTTTGTCCATCTGACTCCTTGGCATGCTATATGTGTGTCGTCTGTTAATCTATCTACTCGGTTGTACAGCAGTGACTTTCCTAAAAATATCATAGTTACAGCTAAAAACTGAAATAATCGGAATTGAAATCACGAATTTTTAGATACGCCCATGAAAGTCCTATGATCAACGTACGTTTACAAAAATTATCTTTAAACTCGGCAAACTACTGTTACATCCGTCTTTGAAGATAAATCAATGAAAAATTGTCGACGATATGTGAGGGGTATCCAAGATTTGCTTCATGCCAAAGATACATTGTTCACCATCTCTCCACTTGAATTCTTCGGCATATAAGTACTTGAAAAAATTTCGTAAGAAAGGGATTTTTTTTCTTTCTTATCAAAATCGAAAACAAATTATTGAACCACATAATAATATAACAATAGGAGAACGAAAAGGAAATTTCATTTGATGTAAAGAGTGAGATTAGAAAAAGGAAAAAAAAAAAAAAGCGGAGAAAGACTCTCTTTACTCTTTCTCTCCATTTTTCTTTCGCTCTATGTCAATCGATGCATAACAACTACAAAGATATGTCGTGAAAAGCAAAAAAAAAAAAAAAAAAAAAATGTTAAATGTTATCACACGATTTTCACGCACATCAATACATGTACGAATTGTATATACGAATTGTATTAAACGAAGCGCCAACAATCATAGACAATTATACGAAATGCATTTAATGCTCTTTAAATAGAAACGAACCTTAGAAGGACCGATTTGCACTTGATGCACAGGCCGACAATGTACTGGTGTTTTGTAATTGTTTTTAAATGAAATTCTGTTGACAAACACTTAACACTGTAGTGTAAAGAAAGAGTACATAAATGCTTTATTCTGCTTCTTGTTACACAGCCACTTGTATTGGGTCTGATATTAGGCAGCAGGCACGCATGCCGTTACATATTCACGTATTGCTGCGTTTACAAAATAAATAAATAAAAAGGGAATCTATAACAAAAAAAAAAAAATCTTCTTATGAGATATTAATAACAATAAATCAACATCAAGGTTGACCACAAGTTTTTTTTATTTTTTTTCTTCATAACGGAATATCATCATCATATCATATAAAATAACAAAAAAAAAAAAAAAAAAAAGACATTCAAAAAGGAGTGGGGGGAAGAGAGAGAGAGAGAGAGAGAGTGAGAGAGAGAAGTAAAGAGAGAGATATAGTGTGTGTGCATGTGTGTGAGAAAGAGAGAGAGAGAGAGAGAGAAGAGTGAGACAAAAGTTGACACACTCTTGTGTTGCGGATGATAATAGTGAAAGTGATAAATATCTGTCAACTGCTTGAATTATATATGTGCACACACGCACGCACCGTGCACAAGCTCATAATTAATTTCCTACCATATGAATAAGTGTTGTTTTTATGAAGTTATTGCGAAGCGTACGCTAACATTTTTTTTTTTTTTTGTTATATTCTTTGTTGAGTTTCGGTCTCGTATTCAGTCAGTAGCGTTTGCTTTGGCAATTTATTGCCTTCAAAACAATTTCTTCTTGTGTTGTTGTGTGTGTGTGTGTTCATTTCTGTAATGATATTGGTTTTATTTCATTTACTCTTTCTTCTTCTTCTTGTTGTTGCTTTTGGTTTTTTTTTTTTTTTTTTTTTTTTTTTAAATAAACATTTTACCTTTTATGTAGAGAATTGATTTGCTTTTGTTATTATATTGTGTTTGTTGTTGTTGTTGCTCGTTGTAAAACTAATTTTATCCATTGCATTCTTGATCTGTTCGAAATGAATTTCTAAAAATATCATCATCATCAGCAGCATTGTTTTAGCTTTATTGCACAGGCAGGCCAGCCATTTAATCGGAAGTGATTAATTGATTGATTTTATCAGAGTTTCTTTGTCTCATGAGCTAATTGGCATATATGATACAATAGATGTACACAAGAGCAACATGTACCTTGGACTTTTCTTTTAATATATTTTCGAGGCGTTAGCGATTAAAGCTAAAGGGAAATATTTGCTGCTGTAGCGCTTCATGTTTTAATAAAATATAATTTTTTTGGATAAAAGAAGAGACATTTTTTCATCAGTTTTATTGAATATAAGTGTACATGGGATAGGGTTATGGCAAATGTCATCCACAATTTTGCCGGCACATACACACTTTTTTGTCAAAATTTGTTATAACCATTTTGCATAAATGCGATGGAATGCCGTTGATGCCCGTCCTTCAATGCACGGATAGTTGTGGACTTGTTGGCATAGAATTTTTCAGTAACTCTGCTCACAGCTGACCAAATTTAATAAATGCTCAACAATTAAATTAATATTCCGACCCATCGACGTCAAACTTTCATTACTTTTGAAATATTATTTAACAATGTAAACGCATTACTATCTCAAGTGATTCTCTATTTTTACTTTACCGCATATGAC